CTGCTCTTGCCTTCCATGTCCCGTTGCTTGAATAAAACGGAGAGACTTGGAAAGCTGAAACGTGGCATGGACGAGCCTACCGACATGATGAGTTTAGGAGAAATGCAAAATTTTAGATCCATGCCCTGGGGGCATATTTTTTGGGGGACAACTTTTTCACGTATTTTTTGTCCTGGAGTATTGAGCTAGTGTGGAAAGATGAAACTTGGTACATAATTACCTACCGGGATGCTGCATGCAGAAAAATTCAGACTTTGGAATGAAATGCCTGGGGGGGCATGAATTTCAAAGGGAGATGTTTTCATAATTTTTTTACATTAGTTAAACCAATGGACATGAAAAGCTGGAACTTTGCATGAATGTGACTAACAAGTTAAAGAGTTAAAGAAAAATGTTAAGTCTTGATACATCCCCGGGTAAAATTTCTCGAGGGGTGATGTTTGGGGAAAAAAATTATGGCGGCGAATTGGACGGAAATAGAATAGCGAAACTTGGCACACGTATAAGTGACATGATATAACTGAGCTGAGGGAGTATTTAGCTTTCATGGTACATACCCTCCGGGCATAGCTTTTGGGTGGGTCGGCTTTTCTAAACATGGTTTTTCACCATCAAAAAGGGCAAACGTATAATATTGAAACTTTGTGGGCATGTAGTTCAATGAGTATGGATTCCGGAAAAAAATGGTACGTTTCGGTTAAAACGGCTCAGGGGACCCCAAAATGTGTAGACCCAGGGCATATACCTCCAAAGTCGGATTTTTTCTGAACTCTGCATCTCAAGAATTACATGTGTACCAAGTTTCAGATTTCTAACTCTTCTAGAACATGGTTAGAATTAGCGTCAGGTAGTCAGTCAGTCACGATCGTCTATATATATTAGATGGACGATAGTACGTAGCTGACTGACATAAGTAGCCATTCGTAAGCTGAGTTCAGGAAAAGTTCTGCTTTGGTGATGCATGCCATAGGGGCACACCGTTCGGGGAACACATTTTCAAATAGTTCTCTTGCTTCAAACGGAGACACATGGAAATCTGAAACTTGGAAGAACGTGACCATTGACGCACTGAGCTCAAATGTCAAACGTCATATATCCAAAATATGTTTGGGGTTCACATTTATTGAGGACGTAACGTTTTAAAATAATGTTTCATATTCCACCGAATCGGGCAGAAATAGAAAAGTAACTGGCGCAGTCATAACGGACGTGATGTTGATTTAAGGAAAAATTCAACTTTTTTATGCGTCTCCTCTGAGCACAGTTTTTGGGTGGGTCGCCTTTCCAATTACATTTTTTCTGCCAGCAAAAGGGGAAACGTATGAGGCTGAAACTGGGTGGCATGGAGTTCCCTGAGTCTATTTTTCAAAGTCTATTTTACTAGCGAGTTTGTTTGCCCTTCGAGCAAACAAACTCGCTATGGTCGCGCCTTCGGTACTCCATTACCATGGTTAGTGAATAATTCATTAATTTTTTTGCGAAATGGGAAATACGTATTTAAAGTACGTCCCCATTGAAATACGTGACAAATGGGGACGAAATTCTTGATTTTTATCAAAATCATTACTTCTATATGGGACTGAAAAAAGTGCATTGATGGATTTTAGCGGAAATTTTTTTTTTCCTTTGAGAGGTAGACTCAGGGAATTGCATGCCACCTAGTTTCAGCCTTCAAAAGCTGTGCTCTGAGACGCACAAAAAAGTTGAATTTTTCCTCAAATCAACATCATGTTCGTTATGCGTGCGCCAGCTACTTTTCTATCTCTGCCTGATTCGGTAAAATATGAAACATTATTTGAAAACGTTATGTAGTTTTCTGCAGGATACCAATAGGTAGTTATGTACCAAGTATCACCTTTCCACACTAGATCAATGCGCCAGGACAACAAAAAATGTAAATGTCGACCCCAAAAAATATCCCCCAAGTCATGGATCTAAAATTTTCCATTTTTCCTGAACTAATCGTCTCGGTTGGCATTTCAGCCCGATTCAGTAGGTTATGAAGAATTATTTGAAAACGTTACTTACCTAAGAAATATGAACCCCAATAATATTTTGGAAATTTGACGTTTGACATTTGAGCTCCGTGTGTCAACAGTCACGTTCACAATATTGAGGCAACATCCTTATGTGGAATAGTCAACCTTTGCCCAAAGTTGGCAAAACATTGATAGGCCGAATGGGTATTGAACACAGGTTACACATGAGTTCAGGTTATTTGCTTTGAGTGATATATCATTCCACTTCAATTATTCAGTTCAAACACTTGATTTATCATCTATTCAATTTGATAGTGTATTGTAATTGGGCTTACTCTGTCAAATTGTCCAGAAGCAAAGAGTGGAGAGGCGGCTTGCATAGAGTCGATTATTGTTCCATTTAAACATTAATCCAACTTTTCTTTTTCTTCAAATTTCGTAGCAGCATGCCGAAATCAAAGTTTAAAAAATTCCGACTGTATTCCCAGACTGTTTTCTCATTCATCATTTGACATTCCCAAAATGACAGTTGTAAGCATTGTCTCCCAACAAAATGGTGACATTTCAAGCCTTACTTGACATCCTACAAAACGAAGTGGCATTCGATGTTTAATTTCCTCTGGACCCACGCAAGAGCTCGTGACAAGAACAATTGGTCTTTTTGCATGGCGTAAGTTTGCCGAAAATGTATACTTACAAGAAACCAAGAATAATGAAAATATATAATTTTCCAATGAAATTTCGGTATAAGTCCTTTCAAATTTGGCAGTAGCTGTTTAAATGTCACAGCACACTTTCCTACTCTATTATCTCATTCAATTTTGGCAGGTGACTCAATTACATTATTCGCCCTTTTAACTTCGGCAATGCAAGGTAATCTATTTTAGTAATTATCATGGGCTTGGGGAATAGGCAAGGAAGGGGCAGCTTAGGGGATTTTCAGCGAATAATCATTATTTTATTACGAGGGGAGGTTGGAAAGTCCAGTTCGTTTTAATCGAGGAAGACATGTAATTTTTTCCTTCATTTTCTCTCAAAAGCTTCTTTATTCAGGATTTCTGCACATAGTCACCGCCAATTTGAATGCATTTCCTGAGGTGGTGCAGCCATATTTGGTACAACTCCACAAAATCTAATTTTCTTTAGCTTTCCCAGCTTATTGTTGACAGCTTCAATGACGTCATTTCGGGTGTCAAACACTCTTCCACGTAAGGGCTCCTTCATTTGGGGGAAAAGTCAAAAGTCGCACAAGGCAAAATCTGGTGAGTAGGGTTGAGTTTCAATGAGGTTGATCCCTGAGGCGCCAATGAAGAGGTTGGTCTTTGGTGGCCTTATGAGCGGGGGTGTTGTTGTAATGGAGAAAAAAATCCTGGGTTTTGCTTTGGAACGTCCTCTGCCAAGCAACTCTCAAATTAAGAGTTGCTTGACTGAAGTCTTCAAAAAACTCGGCTGAGCAAGTTCCGAAGCAAAACTTCAGGATTTTTTCTCCACCACGACAACACCGCTATATATATTAACCACGTAATGCAATGTATGTATTAGAAACACCCACGGAAATTGGCATTAATTAGACCCATTAATTCCTTCTATACTTTGGCGGCTGATCAAGTATGTTCATGCATCGCGAAACCACCCAATGCACATTTTATGTGTTATTTGGACATGTTTTGTCATATGCAAGGAAGGAAAATATGCAGAACAAACTTTCCGTGAACATTAAAAAAGTCATTGGGACCGAGACTTGTTTTTCTGGTCTGCCCTTATTAATGATGACAAACTGAATCTAAATATTCAAAGTCGACTGTTCCTTGCTGGGAGTTGTCCAAGTAGGATGTGTTTATGTTCGTTTCCCTGTTTCGAATAATCTTACACAGCAAAGGAGCAAAAGTAGCGCTTCAGATCTTCGGTTTTTCAGGGAAATTTTGGGAAGCTACTGAGACATGCTCAGATGCCACCAGATCAACCAGAGTATATAATCGATAATGATAAACATGACAAACGAGACCCGGTTCGAGATATATTGATATTTCCTACCGTTCACGGAAAGTTCATGTCGACATGTTCTTCTTCCTTGAATCCGACCAAACAAGCCCAAATAACCCATTATAATTGTCTACCTGGTTTCCTCATGCACAAAGATGCGAGGTACAGTCAGAATGTCCATACCGTACAGCCATATCTCATTTACCGTCAGAGGTTCTGAATATAAATTGCGGTCACTTCTTAACATAATCACCTGCTTTACCTACACACAGTTTTCACCTTCGTTGCCAGTCTCTGAAGAACCTGGCAAATGCTTCCTCTGGTGTATGTTTAAACCACTGGTAAACTGCACTACCACGGGCTTCTCAGAAGCCATACATCTTACTCTGTGCAAAAATGGTGAAACTCTCATTGCAGCAACGTCTCACATTGATATGATGTTGCTACATATTGCCAAAATAGAAACTCCGTGAGCAGAGCCCTCGTCCCCTTTCACATTTCATCTTCAAATGTGCCAGGCAAGGTAACAAATAAATCGTAGACCCATGCACATCCTTATCAAATATCAGTTGCATCTGACCATTTCTGCAAAAATGCATGACTAAATTTCAATCGTTACGAGCCACAATCCAACTTTCACCATTCCACGTCAAAATCAACACACTATAAAACATCACCCCTATGATTTTGATGAAACTTGAACCATAGCTTTGTACCATTTAGAAAGTGAGGAATTCGAAATACCTTTGTCCTCCGTTGGTTGGATCTGAAGATAAGAGGCGCTAAAGATAATGTCCGGTTTGTTACCTTTCTAATAGTATGAAATATTTTAATATTATCATTAAAAATACGACAAAATCGAAAATCAAAATTATGATCTCACATTGCAAAATACCGCCTCTTCCATTTCAACAAAAATTGGCTTACCAATTTGAAATATCATTTCAGGTAAAGCTTGTATGCCAAAATTAATTTTCGGGCATCAATAACTTTTTGAAATTTCGTCACAAAAAATATTTAAAATTTCCAACGGTTAGGTAACAAATTGGGTTTCATGATACATAACCAAGTCATATCCCGATGTGATTTGCTCTAGACCATAGCGACAATATGGTCACCGTATCAAACTTCGGTACCGCCACCATTAATAATGGGATATGAGCCATTACACGTCAAAACTACACACTACAAAACACGAAATCCTCCGAAATTCATGAAATTTAACTAATGTTTTGTACTACAGAGAAGGTCAGATATCCGGTACATTTTCCTCCTCAGGCAATTGGTATCTCGAGATGAAGGGATTGTGATATATAGTCTATTTTATGAAGCAGTGGCACCCCTATCCCTAAAAATCGTTACACACATCGATAAATCCAAGAAAAAGAGATACTCTATTACTCTTTGAAAAGGTCTCTTCTTCCTCCTTCGTATGAAATCATTCTCATAGGTGTTACCTAAAACAGTACAACGTAGTTAAAGAATATATGCCATGATATTTGAACTCATTTTCCAAAAACAGAGAGACTGGGATTCCATGGAATATGGAATACTCACTTTTACTAAACATGCATATGTGTTTAAAAAATCAAATTGTGATGTTATGAACTATTTCAGATTTTTTCTTTTCTTCACTAAAAATTAAATACATTTCTCATATATATATACTCTTTGCAGAACCTGCTCATTATGGCATACTGATCATCACATCTAAGATCGGAGTCTCAATGTCGATGGAAGAGTTCCTCAAATTTAATCTATTTTCGAGTACGTCCAGTTTTGGTCTGTCAGCAAATTTAGGATTGTAAAATAGAGAAATAGATAGACCAGTTTCTGTTAAGTCTTGAGACTACTGGTCCCAACACTATTACCCTTTTCCTCCTTTTCACTCAATGATGGAAGCTCATACTTTGCTCCAAAGTATACTTCCAGTACTTCTCACACTTCTGGAGACATCAAACTGATATTCCGACCGAATATAACTCCTAGCGGTTAAACTGTGATTTTTTTAAATTCTCTTTTTGCTTACTAACAGGAGGATATCTATGCATATCTGAAGTAAACTTTCTTAGCTTACTATTAAGGGAGCTCCATAAATACGTTTACCAAGAATTTTCAGCTATTGTCACTTAAAATAACTTAACTCATGCTGTGCGGAATTATTTTGTCATTATCGCCACTATTGATACTTTAATATTGTACTTTCACATTTTATTAGGAGATGATTCCATCTTATCTAATATCTACCTCAGACGTTTCAGATAATTTGGTATCCCGACATGCACTTGCTTATCGTTTGAACACCAGGATATATTACGGTGTTCTAGGTGTGCTGAAGTGTTCCGACCTCTTCGTTCACTCGTTCGCTTCTCTTGTGAATCTCTTCCAGGAAAGTCTCAAGAGAAACCTCCCTCAGTCATTACACCAGGAAACTGCTCAGGAACACCAAGGCACGGCTGCGGTTCCATTATGTGTTCCAGCAGGTGTTCTGCCCACCAATATACATATTTTTTAATTTAGGGATTGATTGCAAACAGAAATCCATTCATACATTCATTTATTTTATCGTTCCATCACAATTTCAAATACCAGCTTTTGTGGAATCAATACATTGGCTCATATGACGCTCCAATTCAGGATTATAGTATACAATAGTTGCGAATGTTATGAAAACCAAAAGCGGGTGAGAGTTCCATTATAACTACTGGTTTATTGGACACTTGTATACGTCAGATTTAAAGAGCAGCTGAACATTTTTGTGTGAATGTGGTTCTCATGAGGCATTCACTTAGATCAAAAGAATCTCATTTTCTTCATTGACCGATATTGCCAATAACACTATCATTTTTCTCAGTATTTTTTTGAGTTGCTAAGCCAGAGGCCGGAAGTGGCATGCTTCATCTCACTGATGTTTCAGTTCTGGGAAATTCTCAACAACTGAAAGACAGTGTCCTGTCTTATATCCACAAGCATGAACACTGTCTCCTCAATCAGTATTGGCTATGTTAGTGGGAAGCAGATAGCAGATATATGACGCGACAAAAATTTTCTTAATATTTAGGTATGCTATTATTGCTGCAAATTCGGAGATAGTCATAGGAGGCTTCCATTTATTTATAATCAAAATGCAACCAATTTTTTGTTCTTGAATCTTTATCTGCAAATTAGGACAACTTTATATGGACCCTGATATGTTGGTTGAACGCTTGACATCAAAGAGTGCGGCCAAGATGTGCCCCATTTTCTAGGCCGTTGAATTTATAGTCAAACTTGGTATCAAATTAAAGATCTCGTCGAGCTGATTACGAATATATAGGTGTCAAGATATAGACTTTTACCGTTGTAGAGAAAACGGGCTCTAAAGGTACCAACCCCGGTAGATGGCGCCACCAGCTCGCCATTATAAAATATGACTCAAATGAAGCATATTTATCCGATTAATTAGCGATTTTTAAAGTCATATTACATAAGTTCTCGTTTGGAATAACGTAGGGATGATTGTGTCCGTACGACAGGTACCAAATGAT